GAAAATGTAATTCTTTTCCACGAAGTGGAAGTCCTCGAACTGTCGACGCGATCGTCGACGCTTTTCCGTCAAGCCGATGACGGGTTCTTCCACGGGCGGAGGAACGAAGCTGTTCGCGCGTATTGCTGACTCCGTAGAATTCCGTAGAATACGTTGAATCGCCGTCGTGATGTTACCGCCGAGTAACGTAATCGACGCGCAGGGCGTCGTACCGCGCGACGTCACGACGAACAGTCGCGGTCTGCCGCCGTCGGAGATCCCGACGGTGCCGTGCGGGACCGAGGTGGCGGCGAGCAGCTGCCACGTCGCGAGATACCGCGAGGAGTTCGACGAGACCATCCGCACCGTCTCGGAGCCGGAATGTTCGAAGCGGAGGATCGATTCCGCTGGGACTGGCAGCACCAGGTCGGTGCCGGACGGCCGGTCGCGTCAAGGCTTTTCCAAGGGCTCCGCCTCTTTGCAGAGCCTCGTCCGTCGAAGGAGCCGCAGGCACGGCACGTCCTTACCCTCGGAGGTCGAGCTGTCTTCGAGGCAGGTCGTCTACCCTGCCGTCCCCTCGGATCTCTTCAAGGACATCGGCGGCGGCGGCGGCGGCGGCACGGCGATGTTCCGGAACGAGGAGGAGGCACGGACCGCAACGCCGACCTCCACGCTCGTTTACGCGACTTCCTCGGCGCAACCGTCGACCTCCAGGACCGACAACAATCTGGTGGGCCAGGACGTCTCCACGTCGGCCAGCAACGTGGCCACTACTACCACGGGTAGCAACGTCACCTCGACGACGAACGGCGGCCGCTTCGGCAACGTGCCGGTCTCGTTGGCGAGAACGACCAGCGTCGCCAAGGCGCCAGGTCCCTCTGTGTCCTCCACCTGGAACAACTCCGCCGAGCAGGAAAGCGACTACGTTGTCGATCCCGTGCAGGGGAACGCCTACTACAAAGGGCAGTTTTTGGGAAAGGTATACATACACATGCATTTCTTGCTTCGCCCTTTCTACTTTGCGCTCTTCCCTTCGTTGCGCAATCGATTTCATCGGTGATCGCGTTTCTTTTTTCTTTCTGACAAAAATCCACGTGTTTCTCGCCTCTTCGCAAGTCCGTGAACTTTTAACTCTCGGGCGACACGGAAAAGGAGGATGGTAAAAAGGATAAGAGGCAGGAGGTAAAAGTGGCGCGAGAGCAAGAAGCGGACATTTCCCGCTGACAAATTGTTGAGATTTGAGTAACGAGTAGGTATTTATAAATTCCCCCCCACTCGGCAATATCGACGGCAACGACTAAGTGAGCGCACCTGTCGTTGGCGCTCGTCGTTGCGCGCCGATCGCCGATCGCCGATTGTCGAGGTCCCGTTTTTCGCGGCGAGGAATGGCATTCCCGCGACGAGTACGTGGGAATCGCCGGGGTTTACGGCTCGTCGTTTAGAGCTGTTCTGCGGTCGACCTTCTCCGACGTTTGATACCGTTCTGCGTTGTATTGCCAGCGCACGCATAGGCGCTCGTCGTTTACGATCCTCTTTAAAACCTGTCACCCGACAATAAATCAGTCAGCGCGATTGGCCGCGCCGCGTAATCCTTATTGTTTTCGCCGGTGCAAAGCGACGCTTGCTGCGGCTGATTACGTGATTACCACTCACCGGAGAGAGAGAGAGAGAGAGAGAGAGACGAGCGTGAGCTGAAAAGGTGAAGCCTTGATGATCGTCGTGTCACGTCGAATCGATCGGAAATACCAAATGCGGACGTGATTATCCGGCAGAGATTATTCCCATTTTTTTTTCGCTCGATAACACTGATTTGCAAAAAAACTGTCTTTCTTAATTACTTTCAATTAGACGAGGTGCTTCTTATGGATTTTTCAATGCTGTAAATGATTTAATTTATGACTATGATAAATTAAATTTTAGTAGAACGTTAGGCGTTCCCGAGGCGTAATTGAGGTTTAATTCGTAAAAAATTGCTGTCTTGCTCTATTTAACATTTTTTTTGTGTGAAAGAGGTTATTTTCATTTCAATATCTTACTTTTTCGTATCACGAATCGTGTCATGAAGGATTCAAATATGTAATTTTTCTAGTAAATTTTCTGTTTATGACAATGAAGCCATACTTACAATTTCTATATCGAAATAAAAGACAAACATTTTGCAAGGGATGAACAATATTGTTTATGATTCCGTAATCGTCGTTGATAATTTTAAGATAAAGTTAACCTTTACAAAAAAATATCGTTTGAAGAGCCATTTTTGGCCACACTAATTATCTTGGAAATTAGATGTGCTGAAATTTTTTCGGCTCACAAGGGCATCGTTTTCAGTATCGAAAAATCTATGAGAAACAGTCTGCAATCTAGCCCGGAGATTTGAAGTAATTGTTTACTGCAAATTGCTAGCGTTATTTCACCCTTTGCTATTATATTCTAATTTTTTTTTGTGGCAAAGTCGCACGCGTTCCTCGCGGCGTGCATTCTTCACGGCGCGCGTTCTTCGTAACGACGATATAAATCATCGTTATGCAAAATCCGCGAGATTAAACCGCCTCCGCCGGCCGCGCGATCGCACGTAAAAGGCAGGAATTCACTCGAGCGGTTTAATTTTCGCACAATCAACTCCGCGAATAATTTTTCCCGAGGTAAATAATGCATGACCGAGTTAATGCGTGATGAGTCGCGAGATTCATATGGTCGGGTCGAATCATCGAGCGCGGAAACTCGCTTGGGATCGCGACTCGCGGAATTAATATTTTTCATTACGTGAAAACGTGGGTGCAGCTACGTAGAAATGGAGCGTAGGCGGTGAGTCACACAACGGGGCTCGTTTTCGCATACCGGGAATTCTAAGAGAGAAATACCGGCGACGACTTCGGCGAAGAGCGATGATTCAACAATGAGACTTTCTCCGTGGACACCAAATTATCACCGTACGCTTAGATTAAACCGTAAACTTTCCGAAAGTAAGGTCAAAATTCGCCGCTTCCATCCGAGATTATTCTACACAAACAGGATATTAATATCGGAGGAATTATGAACTCGCCTCGTGTTTTATCGAGATAAAACGGTTTTTACCGGCGAGACGAAAATTCCACGAGAATTGTAAAATTGTCGAAGGGAGTGATTCTGACCTTTTTTCTTTTTCTCTTCTCCACTTGACGCGTCGTGATGCAACTGTGGAACTCGCGCACGAAACGAAGCTACGGTTTAAGGATCGCATGTAGCGTGTAGCACAGTTTGTACGTGGCTGGCATATAAAAACGAGACATTTAAAGTCTCACCGGCTTATCGACTACGACCGATTCTCTTCTCCCGAAGAGATACGTTCGGTCAAGTCATTGACTCTGCATCATGCATAATACATCGACGGTAGTCCAAGATCAACGACTTCGTCAAGGTCGAGTATTCTAATTGCACACTGTAAAAAAATTACATGTAAAATTACAACAATTAAAATGAGTAATTTTGAAACTTATATACTATAAATAAACGTTTATATTTAAATGTACGTTTACACACATACACACTTAAAGTAAAGTCACAATTTGCAAATAAAATGATTCTTCTTTACAGTAATCAAATCAAACAGTTTGTAAAAGTAAATTTATAAATGGAGTTAATTTTATAGGAATATTTAGTAAGTAAGTATTAATTCGTCAACGAATTATGCAAAGTTTTTTGTAATCATATTATTGTTACGTACACGAGCATAAAAATGCAAATATAATATATATGATTACCATTATGTTTTACAATATTATAAAAGTATATACACGTTTATATAGAAACAAATAAAATATACTATCACTATAATTTGCCGTTTAATATGAAGATATAGATTTGAGACAATTAAAGGTCTCATTTTTGTAAAAACATACAATTTTTTATATTTTCATTATAAATTGTATAATTTTTACATACTTATTATTTATGTAACTTTCCCTTTTCTATATAGTGCAAAGTTTCTTCCGAAAATATACAACGCATCACTATCGGCTTCGAACTGCCACACTGACAACAATGTGAAACAAGTATCACTGTTAGCTAACATATAATTTTTATTATATAGAAAATGTCGGGAATTGTTAATGATTGTTAGAGATAATTGCAGCAATTACGAATTAATAGTCACAGAGAGAAAACGGTACATTTATTTAATACAATATATCATTAATTTATTAATGATGTTTCAATGCAACGGCAATTACATATCCGTATTAGAACGTATTAAAGTCTGTAATTAATTACTTTCTGTTAATTCAGTTTTGACAAATGATTTCATCAGTTTTTTTTTTTTAAGTGAACATAATTTCAATCATGGTAATAAACAAGTAGATGCACTCGTAGAAAACTTTCTCGCTATATCATATTATTACTCTCTATGATCTCTAAGGTCACCGATAATCGAAATTTATTATCCACTGAATTCATTTCTTATTCATAAGACGGTTTACTCTAGTTTACAATCCGATTAATGGCATACGTAATGTATGCCAGTGGATTTATTAAAACAGCTTATTTATTATTATATTACTTTGTCGATGTGTGTTTCCTGTATCTATATTTTCTTTTCAACATCTTGAGATGTCACAGTTATTCTTTATTTATATACTAAGGAAAAATAAATTATAATAAATATTTTAATAATTTACTAGCTGAATACTATTTATTTCCACTAAATGGAAACATATATTTGGTAGAAAAAAACGTTTAATTTGATTTAATTGTCATCTTTTTATTTAGATAATAAACATTTATTTACTAAATAAAAAAATGACAGTTAAATCAAATTAATGATTCTCTCTCTTTAAAGAAATACAATATTTATTAAAAACTTATTGTTAGTACAGTATATTTTTCTCAGTGTATTAACTTTAAAGAGTTATTGCTGGACAGAATGAGTGGAATTGAAAAAAGGATGAAAAAGAATAAATTACAGGTCTGGTAAAATACATTTCTCATTCGAATCTCTAATCAAAAAAAAATGTCGTTGCATTGTCGGGCATAAACGACGGCATAAACGAAGTAGGGATCCTGTACTTCGCATTGCCCGAAGCAGGAAGTCCAGGTTATCTGATTATCATTACACCGAGTAAACTTTATTCGGCCAACACACCCCGAGGCGGACTCGTTACATCGATCTTGTTGCTTCTCGAATTTTACCCGTGCTCGGAACGATCTTCGTCCAATCTCCGTTAATCGCAGATTCCCGATCTTCACGGCACTTCGTTTTACGCGGACGCGGAAAACGCCAAGCCTATCGGCGACGCATCGATGCGGATCGACCCGCTATCGGGTTTGCCGTTTGTGCCAGGAAATATCGCGCGTTCACGCGACTTGCCAATTCGATTCACCAATTCGACGGAAAGAAAGAAAGAAAGATCTTCTCATCACAGTTTTGTAATAGTGAAACGGAAAGAATGATTTTACCGAAGTGTCTAAAAATTTAGCTAAATACAAATTGAAAAATCATTTTTTGAGACAATTACTTTTCTCAATAAATTATTCTTAGATTTAAGATTCTCACTAATAAAACAGAATATTCGTCAAATGATATTATTACTCTAGCTTTGCTCATGATTATGTTTCAAGATCGAAAAAGACTTCGGCGGACGGTTTGCAGAATTATCCGCTTTCTACCAAGATCCACTTTGACTAAGGATTTCTTTTGTTTAATTGTAGAAAAGTAACAATTTCAAGTTTAATATATCTAGTTAAATTTTTGGCGTGCACTCGGACGTATTGAATTATTACTTAACAACACAATAAAATGTATCGAGGATTTCACGAGGATTTTAATTCGTTGCTACATTTATATCGAACCTCACGTCTCCACATCGATTTCTGTACGTGCGATAGTTTTATATGCACCAGTGCACACTGAATGCGTCCAATCAAATTCGCTGTTAGGCTACTCGAGTAAAACCGTTCTTTCCATTCGTAAACGTATTATTATATTCCTCCGCCATTGAAAGATCA